TGTTGCTGAATGCAAAGTACTTTCTTGACTAGTATTTCAGTGAGAATATCAGCAGAACGTGATAGTGAGAGACATGTCTTAAGCAATATCCCACGAGTAGATCAATACTTTATTGTCAATTTTTCAATACAAATAGACCTCGATAAAATCTACAAAATGACATCGAAATATTGCATGAATCAGAGTAATTAGTTGTGCAATATTTCATATATTCATTTGAACAGCCAGATTCTAGAAATATTCATATTAAATTCTACAAAATATCTCAAATGTTATCTCATTAGTTAATCTTATAATTGTCTTCTATACGACATCATTTTGAAAATCTTTTTCAGCTCTAGCTCTGATAATACTATCACGAATAGATATGGTTAAGAGTCGGTGTGGATGTGGGTATGAGAGAAAAATAACACTCACACCCTCATTTCAATAAATGTCACAGCAATACGAAAATGATATTCTGGTGGTAAAGTAAAAAATCGCATTAACACAAATATTGTGTAAGGTATACCAAGTATTAAACAAATTGATATAAGTATAACAATTCGAAAAACCATTTTTAATTCTTTCTTTGCACGTAATAATCTATTTACTAATGTAACATGTTTATTCATTTCTGTAACGTATCGAATTCATTTCAAATGAATAAATAAATACAATACCGTTTATTGGTATTATATAAATACAAAATTAGATTATAAACTGCTAAGAAAGAAAGATTCAGTAGCATTTGAAATATTTGATCATCAAAAAAATATTTGATTGCATTAGTCGCTATATATGGACATGCAAATATAAAAGCAGCCAACCATGTTAAAATAATAAGAAAAAATTGAAATTTTGCTGATTGCCAAAATAGACGAGTTCAATAAATAACTGTTATATAACTATGAATCGCTTGTAAGAAATAAGAATAAATTCATATAAAACAAATAACATAACACATATAACCTCGAAAATTACAAAATAAATCTTGATAATAAATTTGTTGAAGATCATTATAAAGTGTAAACATTATCATCCAAAATAAAATAAATGTAAATGAAATACCAACAAAACATGAATTAGTAACAAGTATCATAGGAACAGTATGACATGTTTTATCGGTTAAAACAATAAATAAAAATACTAATGACATTAAAATGGCTAGAATAATACATATAAGTACTAGAATATCGACAAGAATAAACCATAATTGGTTAATTGTAATTGAAGTATTAGAATCTTTCAATAGAGAAACAGAGAGAGAGTTGTTGTGTTCATCTATGAAATGATGAAAAAGAAGGGAAGAAAAATGTATATATATATATATTATGAGGAATTATCCATGCGAAAGATTATTTCTTTTTGTAAAATTAACAACTATTTTAGTTTAAGTATTACGAATAATGAACAACAGACTTTTTTGCTACTGAATAGTACAAATCTAATATTATCTTCAAATGGAAAATTCTGTTTTATATATTTGTAGAACATTGCTTTTTATTAAATAAAGAATAGCAATTATTTTTTGAAATGATAGTGTACCCAAATTTTGTCAATGAAAAATTCAAGTTTACATAGACGTATATCATTTTAAATAAGAAGCAAGATAATGTATCATGAAAAATTCGTTGTTGACTGTCCAGTCATTGGTATTTACTAATTTGTAACATTTCAATCGACTAGAATTAAATGATTAAAGACACATCAACTTCTCACATGTTTTCCTTCTATATATACAGGTTGGACACGTTAATTTTAATAGTTTTTCATGACTTGCTGTGTTTCAACGGAACAATGAAAGTTTCATATTCTAGTATGGTTAGATAGAGCATTACTTACTCTATCGATGCATACTATTTGCATTCTATTTTCTCTAGTGTTATATAGAAAAATCAGTTGACGTTTAACAAGGTCAAAAAAAAACTTTTGCACTTTTGTTTTTATCAAATTATTTTTATTTTTACTATATAAAATCAAATCAGTTCGAGATTCGTGAGAACATGCGCATGTTATGTATTGAACGTTTTTTTTTCTTCCTTTTAAATGGCCGCTAGACTGTTGGTCTTTCGGCCAATTCGTTTGAATACATTATCAGCAAATACCACGTAATACAGTTTTCGATACTGTCAAAGGACGTATCTTGCAACTTTTACACCAGAAACAAAAACAAAATTAATTATATCAAACCAGAATAATGAATGCCGAGTAGTCCTGATGCTGCACCGATGGATTACGCAATATGGGGATATATGAAACAACGACTAAACAAAATAGAAATAAAATCTCTCAACGGATTGAAAAAAAAACTTTTAATTAAATGGAAAAAGATGGAATTAAATTATATTAACAAAGTATTAGCTTCATGGTCAAAAAGACTTTTGAAGATAAATAATGCTCGAGGTTGTCATATCGAACATCGTCTGTAATTTTACCGTTTTTTTAAATATATATTCATGATGAAAAATAATAATAATTTGATAAAAACAAAAGTGCAAAAGTTTTTTTTTGACCTTGTTAAACGTCAACTGATTTTTCTATATAACGCTAGAGAAAATAGAATGCAAATAGTATGCATCGATAGAGTAAGTGATGCTCTATCTAACTATACTAGAATATGAAACTTTCATTGTTCCGTTGAAACACAGCAAGTCATGAAAAACTATTAAAATTAACGTGTCCAACCTGTATATCTATAAGATCAAAGTTCAGCGCAGTATAATAGAAATCCATAAGTAAAATATATTTTGATTGGTCTTTATCACATTTTTTATCAAATATACATATATTTTAAATAAAAGGTTTTAGTTAAAAATCAATGAAAACAATGTACTTGGTAATATGCATGTGGATATAGTTCTTTTACTAAAACATTTCTTTCATACCTAGTCAGTTACTAACAATTTTTAGAGATAATTCGAGATATTCCAATATTCAGTTACACATAGAAAGCATATAGTTTATTAGGAAAATCACTCTTGACATGCACAACATCAAATATTTAATATTAAAAACAATAAAACTTTAGTGAATTCAATCATATGAGAATAAAATAATTTCTCACAAAAGTTCAAAATATATTATGAACTTAAGAAGAAAAAAAAGATTTGTCTCTGAAGTTGTTACGAATTAGCTGATTGTTTTACTCATTACCCAAATAAAATCAAATAAGCAATGCAGACTTAGTATTGTCAGTTGAATAAATAAAATGATTATAGAATTTGTAGCAGGTTTAGTTCATTGACTAGACAAAAAGCAAATGAATTATAAATACATTGAAAGCATTAGAAAGAGATTAATGAATGAATAAAATGAAAACTTAATTGTTTATAAAAATCATAATGAAACAAAATAATAGTATTGTAACTGAATTTGCGATTGATGTTAAGGGCGATAGTATAGATGCTGAATTATCTAATAGTGAGAAAAGATAGAATACAATATTTATTTTAAAAAATAGTTGATACATTAGAGAGAGAACAAATAACAATATATTGTGTTTCATAGATATTTCATAAATGATATTTTTAAAAAAAGTCTTCTTAATAGTTTTTATTTAAATATGATAAATGTCTTCAATTATTGATCTCGTGTAACACTATTCTAAGATTTCTAATTAACTGTTAAATTATGATTTATTTATCTATATGAATACTTTAAATTTTTCAATATCATAGCAAATATACGAAATATTGTTGGAAAAGAGAAAATGGATAATTTCGTTTGTGTTTCACGTCGATTACAATTCTAACATAGCTAAAATTTTACTTCTTTTTACTCTTTAATTCTAATAAATTTCAGTTTTCTTTTTAGTCGAGCTATTAATAAATTTTTTGTAAGAAAGATTTTTTATAGAATTTTATCTTATCTAAAAGATCCTAAATTGGATTTTTATTTGAGCTGATAATCTAATTCTTCTGTTTTCTCATACTATATGTTATTATACGAAATCTACGAATTTGTAATCAATTTAAGTTTAAATCAAGCTAATTAAACAACTGTCATTGCATTATTGTCGAGTACAATAATATTCAAGAGAAGTTTTCAACATAGAAAGAAAAGAATATTTAATTAAATATTATTAGTACCTCATTACCACAACGTCATTACTTTATTGATTTTTTCTTTACTTTACTGCGGATCATAAGACATACAAGTCACTAAGGATGTATAATAGTTATAAATAGTGATTAGTATGTCTTGTGATTCACAGTAAAGTGAAGAAAAACGTAATAAAGCATCCCTCAAGAATATCTGCAAAACAAACTTTCCGAATTCCATCTGCTCAGTCAATTAGAAGAAATACAGAGACATCGATTTACTAAAAATGAATGTATCTTGTCAACAATATGAGAAACAACTGATTATGAAATAGAACTAAATATATTTATCAAATGAAATATTTCAATTGGAAATATAAAAAAAACAGATTATTTCTAAATTTTAACTGTAGTTTTGAATACATTATTGTACTAATTGATGGATACAGTGTGAAAAATGTTCGATTCAAATATAACTAATAAATAAATTCGAATATATTGTGATATTATCCTCTTAAATAGTTTTGTTCAAAAGATAACACTTACGTCAATCTTGTTTAGCTCACATAAAATTCAATTTGAATATTTCATTATACTCGAAATATTCTACAAGCATATTTATCTTTATAGTTTCTATCTGTTTTACAGATATCAGCGCTAGATCCATCATTCTATCTAATAGATTATCTTTTGTATCATATAAATAGAAGTATTCATAATTTTTAAGTGACATGCAACATTAGTTAATCTTAATTAGATGTTCTAAAATATCAACTAAATATTATATACTGGAATTATTTTTATAACTTCTCAAATGAATATACATTATGAAAAATATGGATTTTGCTTCAATTATATTATTTTCTATTCATTTGATATTGTTAAAGTGTGTTGCTAGAAACGATTAGCTACACCCTATTACTATAGCTTTATGTAATACTTTTACATATTAAAACAATTTTCTTTTTCTAAACTATTTCACAATTAATCTTTAATTAGAAAATAAATATTACAAGATCAATTCTTGGATATGTCCTAGTATAATAAATAAATTTAAGTCATGTTTAAAACTTATATTCTATATACGACAAAAGTTAACATATCCGATGCTTGTATTTTTTATTTTTCAAATAATTTTCTACTCACTTGCTGATGTTGTAAGACTATTAGTAGTAAGTCGAATAGCCATTGTTGTATCTAGAACAAAAATACATGATCATGTAATTTAGATATGTTTGTTTTTGATTCAATATATTCCATCTTACTTTGTGATATAGTAGTAGTTGATGTTCTTGATAATGTCGTCATATTTGGCGCTAGAAGACATGAAATAAAATAAATTGTGTCTAAAAATATTCTTTTCTTTATTAAACATTTAAAATTGAAATAAAAAAAATTTAAAATTTTTCTTTATTTTAATTAAAATCTCAAGTACTTACAAAGAATTTCTTTCTAATTTTAACTTTTTTTCAACTATATTATTTGATAACAATATTTCGAGACAAAAACAAAACATATTCGTTATACAAATATTAATTATTTTTGTTTAGACTATTTCGCAATGAGTAAATAAATACAGAAAGAACAATTTTTTTGTAAATCTTAAAGTATTGCTCATACAATAACTATTTAAAAATCTTTTGTTAAATAATCGATTACTTCACATTTATTTTTATAGTGAGAAAAGTACTCACTAGGGAATATTGCAACTGTTCAATCGCTTTATCAATAAAAGCTATTGGGTTAACGATTATTCATTATGGTCATTTCGACGTAGGACATGAAAAATCTCCATAGACTTTTATAGGATGATTTTAATAATAATAAAATTTTAACTAAATATTGTTTTTTATCTGTTCAGATTATGCAACATATCAAATTATCTTCAATAGGATAGTTTTCCCTATTTTAGTATTAAGTTATTATAGTGTGCATCTGTTATATGGATTTACTTGACTGTATTTTCTCATGTATTGAATTTAAAATAGAAACACTTGTTTCATAGACAATTCAATATGCTCCATAATACGAACAGATAAAAATAATAGTTAGTAAGAATTTTGTTATTTTTGAAAAAGATTTTCTAGAAAACCATCCCATGAAGGTCTAAGACATT